GGTAAGTGATAGACGAGTCCGCCCACCGGAACCTAAAAGAGCTTGCCAGGCTTATTCCCGAATTCATAGTACGTGCGTCGCACTCTTCCCAACTGGGCCCGCACCCCCTCCAGCAGGAGGTCCCTAAGTTCTGTCCGAGTCAACCCATCTCCTGACAATCCAATTCAGAGGCATAACACCCAATCCCCTTTGTAGCCCCAACGGGGGGTCGTGAGACAGGCAACCAACAAACACATAAAGTTCCCATAACAGGTGATCCTGTTGCAGTAAGCCTATACCGGCTCACGCCAATCGCCACCCCCTCCCAACACAGCAGATAGTGCCAGCAACTCCATTAGGAGAAGCTGGGCCAAGTACACAAAGTCGCACAGGGAGGGTCATGTATAGCTGAACTCCCACGACAGTCCACCCAGCATCTCAGAGCCGTTCAGATTTCCGGATCCCCCGGTCGATCCCTTCTCGTAGGCTGGGATGTGGATCTTTGACGAGCCCCTCTAGGCCTCCTAGGTCCCGATGCCCTGTTGGATGCCGTGGTCGCAGCCTCAGCCGAAGGAATGTCCAGCCAGTCAGGTAGCGTGAATGGTGCACAGTCAAGAAAGCCCATCAGGTCAGGAAGTTGGCGCGGGTGGGTCAATCTGAAGGATCTATCGCCTCTGCCGATCATCAGAGAGAATGGGTAGCCCCACCTATAAGGGACCCCACCCGCTTGGAGATGGTCAGTAAGGGGTTTGAGAAGGCGCCTACGGTACAAGGTTTGCGGGCACACATCTGGCAGAATCTGGATGTCAGCTCCATCAAAGTCCACAGTACCCTGTCGCCACGCATTGCGGAGGATTTCCTCCTTAACATTGAAAAATTGTACACGGCACAACACATCCCTAGGCCTGTTGACATCGGGTCCTCTGGGGCCCAGGGTCCTGTGCACCCGATCCAATTCCAGCAGGTCTGTCGGGGGCTTCACTAGTAGGCCATTGAAGATTGCTGTCACAGCCGTCCTCAGGTCCTGGCCCCCTGTAGCTTCTGGGATACCCCTCAGCCGCAAATTGTTGCGGCGGTTGCGATTTTCAGTGTCCTCCAGCCTCAACTGTAGTTGGATTGATAGGGCCTTCTGCGTCAGCATAGCCTCCTCCAGCTGGGAGACTCGCGCCAAGATCGCGGAGTCTGCAGTCTCTAAGGCCTCTATGCGCTGTGCGTGCTGGGCGACCCCCTCCCTCACCTCAGCCAGATCTGCGTGGAGGGTAGCTGCAATCTGGGCAATCATAGCCTGCATGTCGTCCCTGGTCGGGAGCGCCGCCAGCATGGCACACAGGTCAGGCCTGCCGGACATGTCCGATCCACCCGTCGCTTGCGGGAGCCCCTGCGCTGCCGACACCTCCAGCCCCAGCATCGGATCCGGCAAGGAGCTGGATGGGGATGGCGGTTGCTCCATCTGGGACCGCGGAGAGGAGTGTGTCTGGGTCGCGGCCGGTGACCGTCCCGGCGCTTCCACTCGCCACGCTGTAGGCCCGGAGCCCGATGACCGCGCGGCCTGTCCCCTGGCTCTGACTCCCCCAGCCGGCTGGGCCAGAAAAGGGTCCAATCGTGCCTGTACTCGCGGGCGTGGAGGGGCGCGGGGGGTCCGCGACTTCCTGGTACCTCTTGACATGGGGTGTAATGGCGTCTAATGAGCAGATCAACTGAAATTTACTCCCTCACTCCACGGAGCTCTCCTTATGCACGTCCTCTCGGCGCCATGTTCAGGCCACGCCCCCTGCTTAATGCACTCTTAACCCCTGTGTTCTGCATTACATACTCCTTACCCCTGCACTCCATGCATTATGCACTCTTGACCCCTGAAGTCCATGTGTTACACACTCCTGATCACTGTACTCTGTGCGTTACATATTCTTGACCCATAGTAGAGTAGGCTCAGGGTTTACTTAACCATGCAACTTCAGCTGCTCCTACTGTTGGTGCAATTGACCGCAAACATGATCCACTGTGGCTGCGCACACCACATTATTTTGTTCCAAAGTGCTAAGGGCAGTTTGTCTTCACATCTTCAATGTCTACTTCCTGTTCCAGAAATCTGTGACCATTTGTTTCAGGGTGTGGTTTATGGGTGTGGTTACACGTGGGCATGGTCAGTATCATGCCCCTGGATTTAATTTTGAAAATCTGGTAACCTTAGCTTAGCTGAAGTTAGGCATCATTTAGCATCATTTAAAATGTGTGCACTCTCAGTGGCTCCTGAGGGCCCCTGCTAGCATGTCCTCTGCTTGTAAATTGCTGCTGGCAGTTCTAGCATGCACACTGGAACTGCTATCTGTCTGTGATAGCCGGGGGCCAGTGCTAATCCCAGAAGCTGAAACCAGCAGCTACTGGGCTTCCAATGCTTAGGATCATGCTTGTTGGGTTTACATTGGGTGTGCAGTGATGTCACTAGTGAATTCACAGCACTTCCTCTCTCTACAGCGGCTGGGGCAGAGCTTTTACAGTTAATTTGAAACTACACGTTTCTCTAAGTCAGGAGTAGGAAAATGCTGGCCTTCAAGCTGTGGTGTAACTACAAAGCCCATTAGGCATTGCAAGATTCTGACAGCCACAGGCATGGCTCCCTGAGGCAGATGCATGGTGGTATTTGTAGTTCCACCACAGCTGGAGGGCCATAGTTTGCCTACCCCTCTTCTAAGTCTACCTTGTTTACAGGGTGACAATGCTGCTGAGCGTTTTCACTGCAGAACAAACAGTATTGCCACCCTATTAAAGAAAGTGGAAAAATAACAGATCTACTGTCAGCCTCAACAGGTAATAAAATGTGTTACAAAAGGGAACACAGAATGAAATCTTTTTCTTTGTAGGTATAATTCAAAGTTTAGCAAACAGAACTATAGAGTAAACATGTTAAAGGGTATGTATACGCTAAAAATGAAAACAATTCTCCCTTTTGGTCCATTAAACTAAAAGCATATTTTTGCAAAAATACCTGTTGAGCCTACATTGTTTCCAGTTATTTCTGAGGGCTATATAACCCCTCATCTCTATGTCATGGAGAAGCGAAGAAGCGGAGGTGATCTGTAGTTCTAAAATACTTCCTAGGGTAGCAGCGCTGCTTCTCCGTAGATACCATATGGTAAATGAGCATTGTCACCCTAGGATAGGAAGTGGAATACTGACAGAATCACCAGGTGAAAATAAAGGAAAAAAACTAACACAGCCATCTAATCTAAGTACTGGAAAGCTGCAATGTGACAATGTGACATTTTTGTTCCTGGTTTTAGATAAAGGAATCCCGTACTGAGAGACACGTGTAGATTGTTATTGCTGAGCTTCCCATCTGAAAGTGCAAATATTTTTTATATCTCATTTTTGTAGTATTTTTAATATTTTTAATTTTAATATTTTTAATGTTTACTGAGCCACTGACCAGTTTCCTGACTCAGAAAATATTGAAGTCAAAGCCCGCCAGACTGGAAGGAAATTAACTTCGCCAACCTACATGTTTTGTGTCTGAGTGAATTATATTATTTTTAAAAATGACCTCTAAGATATAAGAAGGAATTTTACTAAGACTACAACACATGTAATAAACACTTTCAATAATAACTCCAGCCAAAACCTTGGTTTCTAGTTTTATAGGGAAGGGCTGAATCCCCTGCTAGATTTTAATAGCTTCCTGTGTTCCCACTGAGAAGGTCCACCCTCATTATTTGTCTTGACTACCAAGAGAAAGGGAGAGGAAATCCGACATTTTACACATGTCACTCAAGCAGGGATAGAGGGGACATCATCCAATTCTGACGAGTGTCAGAATTGGCCTTTCTACTAATTTTGGGGAGATTTCCATTTACTTCCTGTGGTGTCCCTAGACGCAGGAAGTACAGGGAAATCTCCCAGATGGTAACACAGACAGCAATAACAAATGTGACCGAAGGTTCTACCCTTTCCTTACTCAATCCAAGCCTGAAAGAAAACATTTGGCTGGAGGTACACTACACTACACTGCTCCCTCCAGCCTGTCTCCTCCTCCTTTCCGGTAATGGAATGTCCGACCCGCTTCCTCGTGCGCTATACATTGTATAGAATGTGATGACTCACAGGACCTTAGATCGCTGGAGAAGAGGGGGGGAGGGGGGGGGCGAGGTTGAAGGGACCTGTCTTAGAGCATGCCAGAATCGTGGCCCGGGTGAGAATAGCTTTTTTTTTTAGCTCCTTAGACAAAACAAGCACTTAACCCTTGAAGTGTAGGGGTAGCCCCACTGCAACAGTTAAGATTTGTTTTGCCCGGAGTTCAGCTTTAAGCAAATAACTTTACCATCAGTAACTGAGGCTTAGTGGATAAGCTACATGGCATCTGAATTTTGTGATGAACTGTGACCATAATGAAGTGTCTTCAGTGGTATTTACTGGTCAGATGTGGGTGACCCACAATCTTGCTATACTGTGACTGGAGATCGGTTATACAGCTTAACCCTTATGCTGACCACACATGCTTCAACCTTTAATGGTTCTTATTGTTTAGATTAAATCAGCATTTTAATAGTAGTTTGTTTGGATGGTTCTTTACCGTTTTCTATTTTTTTAAATTTTTTTATTGAAAAAAAAAACTATTAAAATGCTGACCACTTTCCAAAAAATTTTTGTAGCCATAAATCCTGACCACCCTCATAATCCAATGGTTTTAATGTGTCAGTGGTCTGGAACAAACATGCAGAGCAAGAGTTCCAAGCTGACTTTTCCTAATCTGCATGCTTGTTCTAGGTTAGTGACTAAGAATAGAATAAAGAAACATCCAAGCAAATGGCATTTTCAGAAGGAGGTCAACAATGGCAGCCTCCATAATTCTCTCAGTACAAGTTTATATTAAACCAGCTTTAAAAAGAAGGGTTCATATGCAATGGGTTACAGGGATAATGAAATATTGGAAATATTGGATTAGAAAAGGTTTAATAGCATGAATAAGGTTATCAGTTTTTAGAAGAAGGCAGCTAATCTTTAGATATTTATTACGTTTATGGTACCTGACAAGATTGGTGCATGGTCCTGGCCATCTGCAACTCTGGTACACTCTCTGGACCACCGTCTCTGATCCATTCTGTACTTGGCAAGTAACTGTTTTAGTTACGGTGAACTGACACCAATTCCTATAGGAGAAGAAGCATTAATATGCATCAGTTGGTATATCAAGCAAAAAAAGGCTAACATACTTAATCACATTTTTGTCATTTTTTTCCATCACTAAATTTATTTACAATGGAGTTCCTGATTTCATCCTGCTGTAACCACAAAAATTCCATGCAGATCCTAACCTGGCCAAGCTGACTGTGATATCTCCTTGAAGTATACACTGTGTATGTATATCTGTTTCAGTTACTGTAGACAATGGCTAAAACCACTGTAAAGGTTTTTTGTCCCACAGGGAAGATTTCTTTTCACTTCCTGTGCTGTAGACAAAACAGAAAATCTATTCTAAATTGAGGAAATTCACTCTTAGTCATCGGAACAATTGTCCCCATTACAACCTACTGTATCTCCTCTATGCTTGTGCTGGAAAGAACTCAACATTTTGCGGTTCCCCTCATTCAGTCCTAGTGACACTGGTCTTTTTGACAAATAGTCATAATGGCGACATAGACAGCAATAAAAATTTAGGTGTGTAAGGAGGAAAGTGCCAAAAACAGAAAATATATTGTCCATATTCAATTTTATTCAGACTTTTATATTGTAAAAAGCCAAAGCATTTCCAGAGCTCAAAGGGTTCCCCTTCATCAGTGCTTGGCACTGTTGTTGAACAAAGAGTGTACTAGACTGATAAAATAGGAGGGGTCCTGAGGGGCAATGAGTATGATTGCTTCAGGTGCTAGTTAAAGTTAAATGTAATGCTTGTAAATGGGACCTAATGGGTGGAATTGTATACTCAATACAACATTTAGGGGTTAATTTATAAAAGTTCCATCCGGCATATAGTCGGATGGATGACGTTGGCATGATACTAGCACCCCTACTTGGCGCTAGTGCGTATAGAAAATTCCTACACTTATCAATGCCATCTAGTGGTGCTAGTGCCGTGCGAACAGCATTCGCCAGGCTACATGGCAGGCAGAACATTTATAAATCAGTGTGTTCCCAAGAGTAAGCGATCTGAGCAACTGAACCTTTTGCATTTAAGTAAGGCATACATGAAACCACATTTGGATGTCTATTCACTTTGGTTACAGGTTTAACCCAAAATAAAGTTAACAGCATCTATAGCAGAGGTCCCTGGCATTTTGTTGTAAGCTTCACTACATTGAAAATAGGACTCAAGAGAGATAATGTTCGATAGTTTAATCAAATTATATATGTTAGATGACCTCTGCTTGGCTTCATGCTAAAATTAAGTATATCGTGCAGTAGAGATTCAGACAGACAGCTACAGAGCAGATGATGAGAGGCCGCAGGGAGTCACACTACAGGCAGCTGAAAGCCATATGTGACTCACTGGTCTGGGACACCAATTTGTATTATTTACATAGAGTGTGTAGTAGAGGTTTGCAGTGCAGTGTAGTACAACTGGAGAGAGGTGTATAATTTATTCTGAACTATCCTTGCAGTATAAATGTCTATTGAACTACAATGGGACAAGTCTTTACCAAACACACTCTACTTCTTTTTCACGTTAGCATCTCTCTACTCGGCACTAGTCATAAGGAAAAGTGATAACATTATATGTTGCAGAATCTCCTACAGACTGTGACTCACTCTACATGTGAAATATATGAATGAATGCGATGATCGATATGCTGTGAAATGTTCAGAATGTGCAGTGGAACTAAAGCCATCTGTGAAGAAAACTGGAAAATCTCAGAGAGATAAAAAGATTAGGCAAAATTTGCAGCAAAACATATGTATAGCCCTATGGTACCAGAAGAGCTGGCCTGCAGTCCTCAGGTCATTCTCTTATATACTCAGTATACTGTGTCTGCTTTGCGCAGGAAGCCATTTAAAGATTATTGGTATTGCGGGACAGGTGGTACCAAGGAGTACAGGGATGAGGAAGGTATAGATGTCTATCACTCATCCTCAGAAATCAACCAGCATGCTTGTCAAAGGGGGAACCCCAACATTCCCCAATCTGTACACAAGGTAATGGCCACCACTTACAACTTACAGGTTTGTGAGTCACCATGCTCCTGATGCTCAAGTACGCTCAAGCAGACTGGCACCCAGTCTTTCGACAAAAACACACACTTTGCTCCCACTTGCAGTTACAGGTTATTTCTTTTACCACCAGCCACACTCTTACCACCACTAGCCACCACTAGAGAAAGAGATAGACTCTATCAAAATCTAGCTGGCTGAACATACACAGGCAGATGCAATAACTTCACATGCTGGTACTAAACTGCATGCAATCAGATTGGCTGTCTTTTTCTCTGTCAGCCCACCGCTACAATACAGAGGACATGAGGACCCATCCACCCTATGCAATCTCCTGCAGATGACTTACAACCAAGCATACAGGCACTAATGATGCAGTACAACCACACACAACAGTCTTGTCAGGTTTGTGCATTCTTTAGAGCAATCACAGACAAGCTTATTTACTTTTATATTTCTAGGCAGGCAGTGTATAGAAAAGGTACAGAAAGTTAGAAAGAACAGAGATTACAAAGTAAGAGAAGCGAATATTATTACAAGGGAAAAAAAAATGGAAAAATTAGTTCTCCTGCTTCCAGTGTTCGATATTAAATACAGACCATATCCCCCATATAGATGGGACCCTCCAGATGTGACCAATATTTGATTTCTAAACACGTGCAATTCATTTCGGAAAGATTTGTAATTTGGGCAAATTTTTGTTATCTGGTAATTCAGATGTATCCGAATCTCCGAATGACAGAAATGACGAATGAAAACGAATCCGAGTTTCCAATAACTAACATTTCGGATGAAATTCATTAGCAGTATGGGGGAGAATGGGGGGAGAATGCCACCCCCCTTGTGAATGAGTAAGGGGTACTTGTACCCCTACTCATTCACTAAAGGGTTAAAAGTCAATGTAAATAAAGAAACCGCACTTTTAGAAAAAAAATCCTTTAATTTGAAAAAAAAAACCAGAGTCAATTTTTGGCTATTCCTTTATTTTTAAAAAATGGCTCCATCAATGTAATTCAGCATCAATCACGATGCACAACCTGCCGAAATAAAAAAAAGTACCGCCGCACAACGACCCGTCCGAACCCGACAAAGATTAGCCTTAAAATTACATCTCTGGGCAGAATGTAAACAGATGGGCGTAGCAAATCGTGACGTCATGGGTCTCGAACCACCCATTTGACATTCTCAGCTGTCATTGAACATAATACTATACATATGACACCTCGGTCCACAGACCCAAATGGCATTCGGGAGATCCTGAGCGCTATTGTATTAAATGACAGCTGAGAATGTCAAGTGGGCGGAGCAAGCCCTGTGACGTCACAGTTCGCTCTGCCCATTTGACATTCTCAGCTGTCATTGAACATGAACACAATTGCATGCGGGACATGTTTAACAGGTTTTAAAGGCAATTTAAAATAGTCAATAACAGAATGGCTATTGCTATTGCAGAGGAGCGGACCTGAGAGAGAAAGTCTCTTTCAATTCCACTCCTCTGCTGATTGGCAGAAGGCAGTGGGAGGAGCAATAGCCATTCTGTTATTGGCTATTTTAAATTACAATAGCCAATAACAGAATGGCTATCGATCCACCCACTGCCTTCTGTCAGTCCCAGAAGAGCGGAAATGAGAGAGAAAGTTTCCTGTATTTTCTGAATTAATGGTTCCCCAGCTGGATCATGATGCTGACGTTAAAAATGTTAATGAAAATATGATCCAGACCTACCCTCTTTGGCTGTATCATGACAGTTGACTGGATGGATATTATTTTATTTTGCAATATGGTTCTTTGGGCACCAGTTTGACATACTTCTTACCAGTACTGTGCTACTACACACCCAAAGCATAGAAAAAAACTAGGTGCTGACTAGGCTGCCCATCAGGCTCCACCTTGCCCAAGCAAGATACACAGACAAAGTTCTGCAGATCACTTGGTAACCAAACTTTCATTATATCCATACAGATGTAATTTACATGCTTCTACTAATATTAAAACTTAATTTACTGTGAGCTCTCACTTCCTGAACATCTGCAGCTCTTAGGAGATCCCCATCCTTACAGACATTTAGGATAGGATAGGATTTCTATTTCTTATTACATGCATCATAGCATAGGTAGTATAGAATTATATTTCCTATATGAAACTATAAAGATAAGGGGAAAAGAGCTCTCCAATATCACGACGATGGGGGTACAGGGTTAGCCAGAATTACAGATGAGAAAGATTTAGAGGTTCTTACTTCAAATGAATGAACAACCACAATTTTAAAAAAGTTTGGAAGCTGTGTAAAATCTATATAAAAAGAGAATGCAATCATTTTCAAATCTCATAAACCCATATTTTATTCACAATAGAAAATAGAAAACATACAAGATGTTTAAACTGAGAAAATATGCCATTTGAAAAACAAATAAGGTCATTTTGAATTAATAGCAGCAACATGTCGCAAAAAAGATGGGACAGGGCCATGTTTCCCACGGTGTAGCATCCTCTCTTGTTTTAACAACACTCTGTAAACATTTGGGAACTGAGCAGGCTTTTTTGAGACATGTTTCTGCCATCAACTTCAAAATTACCTTATTTTTTTTTTCTTAAAATTGTACATTTTCTCAGTTTAAACAGTTGATATGTTTTCTATTTTTTATTGTGAATAAAATATGGGTTTTTGATATTTACAAATCATTGCATCCTGTCTTTATGTAGATTTTACACAGCGTTCCAACTTTTTTGCATTTGGGGTTGTAAAATGAGCAAGCAGTGGCAGTGGAGAAAGCAAAAAAGAATTCTGGTATGGATCACTAGAAGGATCATCAGCAGGAGGAAGGAGGTCCTTATTCCCCTAAAGAGATTCCTAGTTAGGCCTCATTTAGAATACTGTCCAGTTCTGGCGATCTTACTTACAAAAAGATATTGATAAGATAGGAGTGTAAAGATGGGCAACAAAAATGGTGAAATGTCTGAGTAATAAAACATAAAAGGAGAGACTGCAGAAACCAATTCTTGA